TGCTGCGCCCACATCCCGTGGCCCCCTGCCCCTCTCCCTGAGTCCTGCACCCCCCGCCCTAGCTGGGCAGCTTGTCCCAGCCCCTTCCCCAATCCTCCAACCCCAACAGACTTACCAGCTGGAGAAAGCTGTGTCCAGCGTGGTGAGGACTGCTTCCTGTTTGGTTTATAGCCAAATCTGCAAATTGGCCAAATCTTTTCTGAATCGATTCAGAGGCTTCCAATTCAATTTGGAGCTTTTAATTGGTCTCCGGATTTGATTCGGAGATTCAGTTCCCCCCCGGTTTTTTCCTGAATTTTTTGGAGTTTTTTTTTTCCAGGCTTTCACATCTCTATGTAGGTTACTAAATATGTCAATCTGAAATTCCTAGTTCAATTTGTATTAACTTTAAAAATCTATGCTAAATCAAATAAAACTTTGATTCTTAGCATTTGACCTGGGCTTGATAAATCCAATAATCTATTTTGACTTCCTTCTAATTTGTTATCATATGGGCAATCAACATTAGAAGAATTTTTGGACTCTGATGAACATCTTTTGAATGTTTCATAATATACAAATCCCTTATGCAATTAACTCCAACTTAATAGAATTTTTTGTTGGCAACAACATGTGTCAGCTTAGATACTGTAGGGTTGTTGGTTGTAGCTGTGTTGGTTTAAGGACATAGGTAGACAAGGTTCTTTGGGTAGATGTGAAATCTTTTATTAGATCAACTAAACAGTTGAAAAAATTGACTTCTATTCTACCCAGGAGAGCACACAAACACCAACAGACACGCCCTACTGCCTGAAGAAGGGTGTTTGTGTCCAAAAGCTTGCAAAGAGTAATTTTTCCTTACCCAAAGAACCTTGTCTGTCACTTTAGATACTGGGAATTCATTGTTTTTTAAATTATAAGGAAGAGGTTGACATCTGGTTTTAACAGGAATACTTGTCTCTAACTATTGAGAAGCTAACTACTGATGGAATACTGATCCAGAGCTCATCTTTTTCTACTCCAATTACAAGAAGCTAGGAGCACTTTGGTGACAACTTTGTCAAAGTCTGTGCAAAAGATGTTCTTACATGTGTCAGCACAGCTATCTCTGGTGCATATGTGGCCTAGTGTTATCAGGCAAGAACACTGAGGAAGCATTAAGAAACTCTGAGCACTTCTCAGCTGGAAGAAAGGATGCTGCAATAAAATCTTGGGAAGGATCAGTGATGACAGTGAATAAAAAGGAGGGGAATTAATCTGCATGGGCTAAAAAGGACTCTCTTTCACTTAAAGAAAAACAGAGATAAAAAAACAATCTGCTTCAATTTCAGAGTAGCTATTTAAATTAAATAAAAGCTAAGTATTTCTGCTGCAACATTTTTCATGTCCATAACATCTGGTAGAGTTTCAGCTCTTTTGAGGGACCGCTGTACTAATCTATCATCATGTCAGAAGAGGGCAGCATAACACAGCTTTCCATAAACTATACAAAAATACTATGTAGGGTGAAACCATGTCCACCTGTTTTTTAATATAGAAAGTATCTGTACGCCACACACATTTCTGCTGAAAAATAAGGTGAAAAATATGGAGTGCTAGAAGAAAGCACCCACTAATGATATTTACTCTTCCCCAAATAGAAGTTAAATATTGACTTTAATGCTTGTTGCAGAGCCAAAACAAGGATTTTGTAAATTTAACTATGTTTGTACATGTACATAGAGTATCATACTTATATGCCTAAAAATTATACTACGTGTTTAACAATTATGTGCACTAGTGTACATCAAAATTAATGCTTATGCCTGTAAAATAAGGTAGGCAACAACTTGAACAAAACTGCTTGTATTGGTCTGAAAAATCCATTTGTATTCTGCTTGATGTTCTTATTTTTCTTTGTCAAAACTAGAGGATTTGCATCCAGATAAAGAATAATTATTTTTTAGATTTTCATTGCTGTTAAACGTCAGAACTACTTTCAACCGTGTCAATCTGGACTGTTTTCTATGTATAAAGAAATAATATTATTTTCTTTGCCTGCTTTCTTAGTAAGTGATCTTAATTCAAAGTGATATTCTAAATTAATAAGTAGATGTACAAAATCTTACACTTTGTGCAAGTTTGTAATGGTTAAATCACTAGTCAGTCTATAAATCACAAAGTGGAAAACTCAATATAAGTGTAAAAGCAAGCACCTATCCGATTGTGCTAAGAAATAGCAGAACAGAATATCACATTTCATGTTTTAACTGCAGATACACCCTCTGAACTCAACATGTTTAAAATATATATTTATTTATTGGGAGGGGGAAGAGAGAGAATGTTTCTTTGACAAACAGCATTGCATTTTCCCCTATTTGGAAGACTAAAAATCACAATAATCTTGAAACTGGGTCCAGAAAGGACTCGAAAGATAAAAAATTTAAAGACACACTGATGGTCAAGTTCAGTTAATCATTTCACTTTATTGTCTTAACAATGTTCTTTCAATACTTAGTCGCTTAGGCTGCTAACAGACATTAACACACACACACGCACACACACACACTTTACTGGAAGCAGCAGTGTGCGAGTTGGACCCAATTCCACAGTGCCTGTGTGGATCAGGTGTTTCAGCAGGGCTTTCTGGCACTCCTATTTAAAGCACATTTAATCAACTATTAGATAAAAGCGCCAAAAAAGCCCCATTAAAGTGCCTGATTTATAGAGATGTTGGGTGACCGGGGTCCAACTAACACAATGCTTCTTCTGAGTATGCAATGCGCTCAGAGCAAGTGCCATTTTTTTTTTTAACTTCCGTAACCAGCCTTAGGCTATAAATAGACATTGCCAAAGGAAGCAAATCCCCTTCACTGGGTGAAACACACACCACCCATTGTCCCACAGGGTTAGGCTGCCCGTATTTTCCTGCCCTAAAACAAAAAAAAAGTCCACTGCAACACAGAGGTCCAAACTGATACTACTTTTTCTCATGGTCACAAATTTGGTCATCTGTGGCATGACTAAGGGCATGGATATAGGTTTGCTTTCAGTTTCTGCTATCACAAAAGTTATGGCAGAATAGCATATACCTCAGCATGTTTTAAATCATATAACAACATACGTGATCATATAATACTTACCTGGCGAAATACTTCGTTGACAAAATTGACATAACCTCGAGTGGACAATAAAATCCTCTGCACCATCTCATACACTGACCGATGTTGTTCTTCAATGCTGCAAAGGCTAGAATTACTGAGTCTCCTATCAGACAAGGTGCTACTGTTGGAATGATTTCTTTCTTGCTCCAATTGTGCGATGGCTTCCAGCTCAGGGTTCTTATCTTGAGTTGAACTACCACCAACAGTCTAGACAAGAGAAAATGCCGGCCTAATAAAGCAATCACATCATATTGTACTTAAGCAGGCCAAAAACCTAGCATAACTTTGAACTTACTAGCAGCTTCCTCCAACCAATGGAACCTCAGGATCCATTGAAATACAACTCTGAATGGACTTACTGAGTCAAGCAAAACATTAGTCTCATTTTTAGTGCTTAATATTCAAACTCTTTTCCCTTATTCTGCTGACTGTTTGTCAGCCATATAAGATAGAAAACTATACAATGAGATGAACTGAACCAGGTTGCTGCTAAAGCAGTTTTAATCACTTTGGCCAGGTACAGACATTACATTTTACTGGTATAAGTGACTGGAAAGCAATCTATACCTGTAACAGAACAGAAGTGTGGCACACAAAACCAATCTATACCCATAACAGAACAGCAGTTTGGCGCACACAGCCTGGTTTAAAAATGGCAGAACCCAGTCTAAGATTTGCCCTCCCCACCAAAAGGTGAGTGTGGGTTCTGTTTGCCTATCTACCATTACAACCTCAGTTTCTCCAAAGTAAAATCCACCTCTAAAGATTCCTGCTTTCTAAAGAATAAAAAGTAAGACTCTGCGGCCCATTATGAACTAAAAGAGAGAGAATTTGGCTGGGAATTCTGGATCCCAAGAGAAGGAAAAGAAAAACAAAGAACTAACTACCGTAGGAAAAAAAATAAAAATGAACCCAATATGCATACAGATTTGAGGCAGTATGGCAGAGTGGTAAAGTATAAATTCATCATAGCTGCAACATTTTGTAATAAAAATACAGTTAGTGATCCATTCCTAAAACAGAAAATGACAGAGGACAGTCTTTGTAAAAAGCTGTTCTGTAAAACTTATTCACCTTAACAGAAGAAATGAAACACTGAATGAAAAATGTGTTTTCCAAAAATCCACTTAAATATTTTTTTCACTAAAAATTCTGGCTGAATAGAAGAAATGCACCATCAGCCCCTTCCATGCTTTTGATTTAAAAAAGGCTTACCATAAGTTTCAAAGGTAGAAGGGAAGCAGAAGTCCATGTTTTGTAATATCTAACTTCATTAAGTTGACATTTACCAACAGTTGTCACATTGTTCTTATACATTTCAATTTATAACCGAAGTCTTAAAATCCCTGTGTGGTAACTTACTGACAAATTCAAAAACTATCACTTTACCATACCTTGGCATGTTTAAAACAACTATTTTAACTGGAACTAGTTGCTAACACTTCTCTATGGTTATGCTGGAAGTAGCTTGAGAGAGATTCACTATCAAAACCAAGGAGACAAAAAACATTGATCCATGGTATTTGGAGTTTTAGAGAAGGTAAAAAAATGTATAAACAAAACCCCTTTCCTATTAAAGACTGATAAGACTCAGTTCTGTTTAGACTTTGAATTGCCATAACATGCACTACTTCTAAAGCAACCATCAGTATATTAAAATGCAAAGCTTTACAAGGGCCATTTTGTTATTTGTCATATACTTTCCCAACCAACTACAATTTAGTATTGATATGCCAACTAGCAGCAAAATATGAGACTTTTTCTCATTTTTTGTAGTATTTCTTGAAAATTTGCAAAGTAAAAACTTATTTTTGTGAACAATATGCTGGTGTTTGAGCACTTCTGAATTAGAACATAAATGTATAGTGATAATATTCAAAAGCAAACTTCTGCTTTTTAAATGAAGGAAAGGACAAACCACAACAGAAATTTTTCTTACATTACTGAAAGGGATTCCTCCACATACTCAGAAAAATCACTTTAAACTCCATCATTCATTCATTCATTCATTCATTCATTCACCTGAGCACATTATTTTTTGCTTCAGTTGTCAATGTAAATGTATGATGATTACTTGCAACCTTTCAGCAAATATAAGGAAACAAGGTAAGTTCTAAGGCATACCTGGATGATTTTAGGCAACACTTCACCTCCATTTTTAGTGCTCTGAGCTGCTGCTAAGTACTTTTTCTCCAGAAAGAAGGTGACGAGCCATTTAATAAAAACAACACGGGCAGCCATATAGGGAATTTTCGTGCTGTAAATGTTTTCATTGTTTCGGGTTGCAGTAATGTACACTGGTTTTGGTCTCAAGTCAGGAATTTCTAGGTGAGATTAAACAGAAAATAATAAATATAATATTTAAAAAATGTAATGGCTTTCAGGCCTTGGCTAAAGAAAGTGAATATTAAACCTACAACTCCACCTAGTGTGAAATAATAAAAGTTATTTTACCCCATATATATTATGCTTATTAATAATTATGTGTACTGCCATCACTTTGATTGATGCCAAAGAGAAGTATGACAAAGCACATACCAGTGCCCTCAGAACTTAATTCATAATGAACAAGTCAGAAAAATGAATGTAGCAAAAAAAAAAAAAAAAAAAAAAAAAAAGGACGGGGGGGCCAAATAAAAAAAAAAAAAAAAAAAAAAAGGACGGGGGGGCCAAATAAAAAAAAAAAAAAAAAAAAAAAGGACGGGGGGGCCAAATAAAAAAAAAAAAAAAAAAAAAAAGAAAAAAAAAAAATGAAAAAAAAAAAAAAAAAAAAAAAAAAGAACAGGACTGGGAGGCAGAGACAAAACTGAAAGAAAGGACACATGTTATAGTATAAATCAAATCTTAGTACTAATTTTTGTCAATTAAGACAGAACAAGGAAAGAGTAAACAAGACAGGAGCCTCGAGTAGAAAGAAACCTATAGTTCCAGCACAGCACATAAATCAGTACCTAGGGAACTGCTCAATGACAAAAGGATTTCAATTTCAAACTGAAGGAGGCTTTTAATCACGTAATTGCACATTTTAGATGGCTGTAGAGTGCTGACTACTCTCCTCAGAACCACACCACCCTGTTGCCGCATGCATACACTCACAGCTGCTCTTAGCCTCATCCCACCCTCACAAATGCTGCTCACTCCCCCTCTCCCTTCAGGAAAGAAGAGGTAAAATACAAACTGTACATGAGCATATATATTTATCACTACATTTGTATCACAACTTCTCCCTGATATCTGGGCAACATACAATTCTTACAACATCTGGTCTGGGTCATTTATTTGGTCATTTTTATGTGATCCAATTATATATTTCTTGTCCACTTAATGTTAAAGCAATGGAAATTTTTGTTCTTCAAGGAACATAGGATCAAGTCCAACCCACATGTGTGCTGGTGGGAGGGCGGAGAGTGAAGGGAAGTGTCCTAGGCTGCTTGTACATGCCACAGGGGTTTCATTCGGTTTAGTTTCCCCTAAACTGAAATAGTGGGTTTTTAAAAATACCACTTCTATTTAGGGAGAATTAAACTGAACTAAACCAAACCCCTATGGTGTATACACAAGGGTGCAGGCCTGATCCTTACCTGCCTCTTTGGTGGCAGGGAACAGGGGTGAGCTGCCGGCAGGCTGAATGGTCTCTGAGCTGTGTGGGGGCCCCCTGAGGCAGCACCTGCCTGCTAGCACCTGACCTGGGCAGTCCCTGGGGGTGCTGCAGCCACGGAGGGGAGCACTGGGCCCACAGCTCAGGCAGGCTACAGAGACAGGGAAAAAACCCAAACAAGGCTTCCCACTTCTTTTTTTTCCTTCAGTGGAGCCTGCCTGCATGGGCTGCTGCTGGGTCCAGAGCCCCTTCTAGCACCCCGTGCACCATTGCACTTTGTTAGGCAGAAACTAAAACACCTCGGAGGTGTTTCATCTTGCTACGTACCAAAATCATTTAGGGCGGAATATGCCACTGAGCATGCAAACAGCAATGCCATTAAAGCAGAATACGCTGCTGAACGTGCAAACAGTAAAGCCACTAAAGTGGTGCAAGAGGGCATTTAAGTCGCTTTAAAGGCCAATTTTGTGGCGTGTACAAAGGCCCCTAGGTTTTGTCAGCTGCCCCCCTGGGACACGAGGAATTGACTTCACCCACAGAACTATAACAACTTTGTGCTCAAGGCAATAAATGATCAATATGTGGGCTTGAAAAACAAAATTTGTTTTTATATGAATGGCACGTCATATTTTATTAAAATGCTGTATATAATTACGTTAATATAATCTGTTTTATGATTATGGAAATGTAAAAAAAGGAAGTCTAAAACAGCACTAGGGAAAACCTTTTTTTGGTAAGACATTAAAATTATTACAAAAATTATATACGTCATACAATTATTCAACCATAGTCATAATGATCCCATAGGCTCTACAGAAAGTAACCACCATAACTTTTGCTACTTAAAGGTAAAAATTATTACTTACCAAGCACAGGCTTGTAGAGGTTGGTTAGTTTTGTAAAAGATGGAAACAAGTGTGGAAGATAATACTTTCTAAACAAGGTGAAGAGAAACTTAAAACCAGTGTCTTGGTTTTCCTTATTCTTCCACTCCAAGCTTGCAGCCTTTGCCATGGAATCAAAAGAGATGTTTCAAGTTAATACATATTCTACTGAGATGCTCCCCAGGCTAGCAATAAAAGCTGTTTTACTGAATGTGAAAGATGGAAAACTACATTTCAATAAATATAAAATATTACTACACTATTTCATACCTTTACAAAGTATAACAAAAGTATAAGAAAACTGTGGTATGTACCAAGTCATTTAAAAAGCAAACACAAAGAAAACCTATTAACAGTTGAGACATATATACTGTATAAGGCAGTCATTCTCATAAATGTCATGAAAAACTAATGTCATTAATAGGTCAGAATGTTACCAAAATTAAACAAATCTTCTTACTTATAAGTAGGATTCTATTAAGCTATAGTTTGTCAATTATATTTCCCTCTCCTAATCAGCACATCCAAGTCTTGACATCAATGAAGTTGCTTTGGCACATATAAGACACCCTTGGGAAGCCCCACAGGTAATTACCATTGGCACTGGAAAGCTGACTTAAAAAGTTTAAGATGTTTTTGTGCTTAACTATATCAGAATTGGTGAGTCTCAGGTATAGCAAACATATAGATTAGGTAGGCTTTTAAACTCTATTCTGCCACATACTGGGCTGCAATAGCTCTGCCAGTCTGCAATAGTTCTGTCCAGGCAGTATTAAATTGCACTAAATGTAGTAGTCCAGAAGTGATGTGGTAGCTTTGATAGTCCAGGAAATATGCAAGAGACAAGAATTTTTGTGAGTGATACTTTTTATTGGACCAACTGCATGGTTGGGAGAGACTTATCTAAGTTTTCAGGTGCCACAGTACCTTCCTCAGGGCTCTGGGAAAGCAGCAGATACAGCAGTGCTAAATAGCAGATGGAACATGGGCTTTTGTGGTACTCAAAAACTTGTCTTAAGTCTCTCCCAACCATGCAGTTGGTCCAATAAAGGATACATATCACCCCAAAAAAATTCTTCTCTCTCACACTAAATAATGTGTTAATTTTTACACCGGGATGCATTTCCATTTCAAAGTAGACATGACCCAACACAAAACTCCACAAGGGTCAGTTCGCTTTAAATTATTTGTGCTATGTATTCCAATGTTGAGCGCAAACAACCCTCAACATACATACAGGCTTGACTTGCACCATGGCTGAAAGGGACCTATGGGTAATGATTGACCATCACATGAATATGAGCCATCAGTGTGAGGCAGTGGTCAGCAGGACAAACAACATGCTGTCATGTATCAACCAATGCATCTTGTGTAAAACTAAGGAAGTGATAACTCCCGCTGTACTCAGCACTGGTGAGACAGCAGTTGGAGTACTGCATCCAGTTCTGGGCACTGAAATTCAATAAGAATGTGGAAAAACTTGAGAGGGTCCAGAAAAGAGCCACCCGTATGATCAGAGACTTGCAAGGCAAGCCATAAGAGGAAAGGCTGAGGGACCCGGGTCTCTTTAGCCTAAAGAAGAGAAGGTTGAGAGTGGAATTGATAGTGATTTACCACTATATCAGAGGCGTGCATCAGGAGCTTGGTGAACAACTGTTCAGTAGGGCACCCCTGGGAAAGACCAGGACCAATGGATACCAATTCCTGGAAGGCCACTTCGGGCTTAATACCAGGAAAGACTCCATCACAGTCAGGGTGTCCAGACTGCAGAATAAACTTCTTCCAGATGTGGTACAGTCACCTACTCTGGGGGTTTTCAAGAGGAGACTGGACAGTCACCTCTCTGGGGTCATGTAACCACACGTCTTCCTGCCTAGAGTGGGGGAGCTGGACCCAATGATCTGCAAGGTCCCTTCTGGCCCCAAACAATCTATGAATGCTACTGCACAGAAAAAAGTACAAATAGTTTTGTGAGTAATAAAGGAAAGCCTGACTTTTTACACTGTGTAGCATTACTTGCTTTTGTGTCTAGGCTTCTGTAGAAAACTCGGTTATTAAGAGGTATATTTATTTTGATGTTGCTTTAAAAAAGGGGTGGGAGAAAGCTGAGCTGAAAAAGGGTACCTTATAAAAATATTAGAAAACTATGCTGATTTGGGATTTACATGAAAAAGTATGATACAAGGGAAGAAAGGTCAGATAAGTTAGAACAGTGATTACCAAAGGGCGTCCTGCAGTGCACTAATGTTCTTCAAGTGCTGTGAAAAATGATACTTCATCAGTATCAGATCTGATCCATGGAGGCACATCATTCAGCTTACAGGGCTCCCCTTGGGTCCAGAAATTTGGCATTGGGGGAGCACTGACAATAAATACTGGCCCTGCCCAGCAGGATCCGGCCCCAGCTGAACTAGCACCACACCTGAGAATGGGCCTACAGACCAGATCCAGCTCACAGATGCAGCACCACTCATCCAGCCTTCAGGGCCAAAAGGTTAGGCACCACGGCACAAGTCTTATATTTTCCTAACTTTTGATACCTGAGGCACCCTTTTTCAGCATTAAAATCAGTGGCACACTTAGACACCAGAAAAGGGTATGTGTGCACATGTGTGTGCATGCACACCCTTGCATCTATTTATCTAGCTATAACAGATAAACACACACAAGTAATGCCATATCTAATGATTTGTCTATATATATTGTCTATATATATAGACAGATAGGCACACGCAAGTAAAGTCATCCATACATCCATCCTTTCATCCATCTTTAGATAGATAGATGGATATACTTGGGTGTGTTTATCTATCTGTCTACATAGAGATAGATCATTAGATATGGCATTACTTGGGGGGGGGGGGG